GTAGATAGCCTTCTATCACAGTACTTCCCATGAAGTTTAGGCTGGGGCTCTGCACAGATTTCTATGGAAACCAGTGAGGGGGCTAAGCTTTGACTCCAGGGTGGATGGGGAAAACCTGGGCTGGGTTCAGTGGGCCCCGAGGCATGGGGGCCAGAGAAACCAAGCAACTAAGACTGGATAATGGGTCTAAGTCACCAGAGAGAAGGATGTAAATCATCTCAAACTATGTGATGGGGGTTCTGCCTAAGTGTAACAACAGCACTGAGAAATCTATCTAAAATGTGGATTTGGGATATAGTGGTTATCCACAAACTCTGTCATTCCAAGGCCTAAAAGAACGTGACACAAAATGTATCTGAGATGATGCTATTTTACCATACACAAATAGCTCTTTAACCATAGAACTGTGTCTGGGATGGCCCTGAATGGTCCGTCAGTCTCTCTCTTTCTAACTCACCTCCTTGTGAACTAAAGCAAGAAGCAAATCCTTCAGTGTGGGGTCAGCTGTCACTCAGAACAGATGACCAGTATGTCAGATTCAGATGGTGAATGCTTATAACAAGAAGCATTACCACTATACCTCTTAACTGAGATTTCTAAATCAAATGCAACTTTTCTTTTTAATATCCAAAAAAGAACATCTGCTAGGATCAAAATCCTAAGCTTACAACCTTTCCAAGCCTCATAAAAAAGTAAATTTCATTAATGCTACATTTTTCTTTCCGGAATAGGAAATACATTTTATGGGATATATTTGCCCTCCTAGAAACAGGCCTTTTCTCCAAAGAGATTACCTATATTATAGGAATCAAAAAATAAGTAGGAGATTAGACTTCCTTGCTCGAAAAACCCTTTAAACTTCGGTTCTGACATTTGAGATGTTTGACTAAGCGGCTTTCAGCAGAGACTTACAGAAAGAGTTCTGAATGGGGCAAAAGCAGAAGCCCTGTCCCTTGGTAGACACAGATTCCAGGTAGCATTTCTTCACTCCAGCTCCAAGGCAAACATATAGATAGTGTTTAAAGCTTGATCCAAAGCTATTGGGTCCAGCAAGATAAAAGCCAGTCACCAAGAAAAACATTTTAAAAAGTAGAGAAAACTTTTGCTAGATACTATGTCCTTAGACATGTAAGACATTGCAAGAATGTGTAAGAGTTGGAAATTAGATTAAAAATCAAATATTACAGTCACCAGCTATCCCTTAATTTGTGATTCAAGGTCTCCTGTAATCTCTACATAATGCAAAAAACACAGTGTCCTAAATATGGCATCTGTTCAATGCTTGAAGCAGGACCTATTGGGCAAGGGGAGTGGGGACTGTCCTGCCACAGATCTGTTATACCCTATTTCCTCTGTAAGAAGTCACAGCCTTTCTCTCCATCAATGTTTCTGCTCCATCTCATTGCTAAAAACAAAACAAAAAATACAAAACCCCCCTAACATCCAATATGAGCTTTTGGTGGCTGTATTGGGATATTTCTTAGAACTTTTAATCTCGATTCGAGCTGTTGACAATTTGATGACAGCTTTTTCTAAAATTACTAGAACAAATGCTACCTTTTAGCAAATACCTCTGACTTGGCAAAACATTCATGTTCTAACCAAGAGACCAAGAGTAAAAGAGATATTTAGTTTGATTTTCAGTTGTCGACAGAGCAAAAATGGTGTGGCTTCAGTTGTTTCTGTCGTCATCGTTCTATGGCAGCCCTGAATTACTTTGCTGATCAGTGTCCATTGATAAACTCAAGTCGTGGAAAAGAAGCCAGGAGAAGAATAATTTTGCAAACCATGCCTTCCTGGTGGGACTTCCCAGGTTGGATGTTTAGAAAAGTCACAAATCAAGAGTCCAACTATCAGCTCAGCTCTTTGACTTGGTGTAGATCAGAAGGAAGCCCATGTGATCTTTCCAATAGAGGTGTTCATACTTGTTCTCTATATTTTATGCTTAGAAGCATGATTCAGAAAAGCAAAATTATCCTATCAGAGAAGTGGACAAGAAAATGTTTAAAGAACTCATCTTGAAACTGAAGTCACATAGTCCAATGAGTATGAACTAATAGAAACATAAATAATGGTTCCTATTACCTGGATTACAATGGAAATGAGGAGATTTGCATAAATCTGTATCTTTAGGACTCTGACTCTCCCATCTTTGAGTCCTCACCAAAGTTTCTAACTGCTTGAACTATATTTTCACATTTTGCTTTTCAAATTATCCTGGTAGAGAATATTTTCAATACCTACAATAAAACATTAGTATCTGAATACGTGCAGACTACCCCTAAATCAATACAAAATACAACAGAAAAAAGTAGACAAAGGAAATGTCATGCAATTCAAAGAAGAGAAGATCTGAATGGTCAGAAAACATAAGGGAACTTGCTCAAATTTTCTACACTGATGGCAATGCAAATTAAAACAAGATATGATTTTTCTATTCATCATATTGGCAAACTTTTAAGTTTCAGGATAATAAGTACCAGTGAGAACAAAGGGCAATGAAACTTATCTTCTCATTGCTCACTGGTGGGAAAGCACGTTGGTTCAACTACCTCAGAGAGTAATTTAGCAATATCTGATAAAATTGAAAATTGGGGCAGCAATTTCATTTAAAATATATACACTATGGAAAATTTCGCACAGGTCTGCAGTTGAGACATAAAACAGTGTTTGGTGCAGCATTATTTATAACGGGAGAAATTAGAAATAACTCAAATGTCTGTCAATGAGGAAAATGGATAAATAAAATGTTGTATATTCATATGACAGAATAATATTTGCATTTAAGAGCAGTAAACCAGATTTATAGATCTCAATTTGAATACATCTAAAAATTTAATATGGAGTAAAAATGCAAGTTGCAAAATGATAAATGTAGCATAATATTATTTATGTAAATATGTAGTTCTTTCATCCTGGGTGTATGGAAACATCTAAAAATTATTTCAAAACGTACATTAAATCCATGAAAATGGTTGTCTCTGCCTCTGCCAAGGGGCAGGGTGATAGGACTAAGGGGATGTGAGGGGGGGAGCTTCAGCTTTACATATCATGGTCTTTTCTTTCACTTAAAGACTTGAAAAAATAGGTCAAAATATTAGAAATTACAGATTCTGAATGGTAGCTTCACATGTTCATTTTTTTTTCACTTTTCAATATTTTTGAAATTTCTCAAAATTAAGCATGAACATTGAAAAGATGAAAACCCCTGCTTCTTCTCTAATCCATGCCTTGCTATAAACCTATAAGGAGAGAAAATTTCCTCTAACAATTCTCTACTGCTTGTATCACGTGGATTAATGCCATCCCTGATTGGCTTTTGTGATGAAATGTCCCATTTCTGTTTCTTCTAAAACTACCGAGTGTGACCTATGGAATGGGAGAAAGCTGATAACGGTAAACATGGATCCCTTTCACGCCAAGGAAGGAAATTCTCATTCCAGCCTTGGAAGTCCTTCAGCTGAGGATATATCAACACACCCTCTGACGGTTTCTTGAGTCCTCTCCTGCTCACAATTGGAAAGCTGCTAATATTTTTTTAAACTCACACCAATAAAGGTAATAGTCTGTAATATACGGCACCGTGCAATTTCCATAATGCAGGAAAGAAGGCATTCACTTTGGCAACCCTGTTGGCACAGATTCAGGGAAAGGACAGTGCACTCTAGGAGAGACTTACAACGTGAGAATTTCACTCAGCTATTACGGAAAATGAATGTCTTCAGATAAATGTGCAAAATTCAAGTCCCTTTCCAATGGGTGCATTCAATGAAAAACTGCCGTGCAGTGGATATTTCTGAACGTCATGGCCGCGCCGAAGGAACGTGACATAGACCACAGGAGGAGAGATTTGGCAGACTTGGAAACAAGAAGGGGGCAGCTACAAAGTTGTTTAATAGCCATAAATCTCCCACTCTTTTTCACAAAATACCATCGAAGACCACAGGTCCACAACTCATTCCCCATCACTCAGCTCAAGTGGAGCGCTTTGGCATGCTCACTCACCCTTAAATCACACACCGCATAAAGTGATCCCGGCTCTGAGAAATTTGTCAGCCTCTTTCAAGTAAAAGCAATCTTCACTTTTCATCACAATTCATCCCCTGAAACCAGAGTCTAAAGCTGACTCTTCTAAAAACATTTATTTTCCCTCATAAAGAAAAAAGCATCACTCGTTTAGTTATCATGTATTTAATAACCACCTACTATAGGCCAGGCCCTGTGCTGACAATACCAAGGAAAATAAAATGAGGAGTTTGGTTGGAGTCCCAGCTCATTAAAAAAAAAAAAAAATACCACGATTAATACTGGTATGAAGGGTTACCAACTCAAGGCACAACCCTTCTACTTCCACGCTCTGTATTATACAGAACACTGTTTTTTACTTCTATTAGGACACTTAAACACTGTAATAGTAATTATGTCTACTCGTTTCTCAGGCATACTAACAGAGTTTTTAAGATTAACTATATTTACTTTCTGAAATTAACTATACTATTAACTTTTGTATCCAACATGCTGCCAGAAATACAGGAGGAAGTCAATGCAGGATGACTGAATGAATAAAACCATGCACCATGACTGTAATGCAACATTAAAGTATGGGACAAGTTGTCAGAATCAGAAGATACAGACTTGCCATGATCTGAAGAATTAAATTAGACAAACTAAAGAAACACCTTGAAGGCTGAAGCTTCCTGCTTC